TGCCCTGGATCAAGCCCTACCAGGCCTCCTACACCCTCCTCGCCATCGATTTTAGATCACTTGTTGTTCCCTTATCCTTGGGTTTGTTAATCTGCCTTTTATGGTTTAAATTTAGAGAAATAGCACAAACTCGCTCATGCCTAGCAATCAGTTCAAACTACTAAATAGAAAGTTTATTAGCACAGCATTCCAGAGAGTCTCAAGCCTCTTTATTTGAAATGCCTTTCATCTTTCAATTCTTTACAGTGAAAAGAAACTATGCAGGAGTCCTCTGGCTGACAGCTTTTCCAGTTGAAACTTTTGGTTTAGTATTACCTTTATTTCACTCTCTCGGGAAAGCATCTCCAGAGCTTCTAGATGAGAAAGACCTTGAAATTCATCAAAGAGTAATCCATAATGAGTTTTCCTGTCTGTTTCCATGGTAACCTCATTGGTGGTCCTCAGCTCTTCTTTCTCCTTGGCCTCTCGTAAAACCTGAAAAGATATGGAGGTATTATATTACAGCAAGTAATGAGAACTCAAGGGCGGGCTTTCAGAGTTCAGAGGAGCAATGCTGACACGAATTACAGTGTTGAGAACTGCCTCTTCCTTTTAGTATCACGATTCAAATCTGACCACCTCAGGAGCTACAGGATAAACAGATCACTCACAATTTTATGCAACATAGCATAAATAATACCCAAGAATGCAGGTGTTTCACAAAAGTGGTTTACTAAGCAACTCTGACAGAAATTGGCATCTTGAATTGTACTGGCATGACAATGAGGCAGAAAGGAGTTGGGGGGAAAAGAGCTGGGCATTTTTCTAAACTTTACAAAAAAGTTCTCACTGTCAAAAAGCAACCGAAAACCCCACAAAATCCCTTTCAATAAAAACTCATTGAAAATTCTTCAAAAGGAAATACAAACCACTCCACAGTCAGAATACACACAAATCCAGATAAAAACAGAAACATGAAGTAAACAGATAAACACAAATAGTACCTGAGACAATGTAGAATTCCGGTTTATCAAACCCTTGGTTTTTCGAAACCCTGGATCTCCTTCTGCTATCACGTCCATTGTCTTTTTCCCAATGAATTCTAAAGCATCCAAACCCCCACTGATTACGCTCTTTCCCTAGAAAACACATGAAACCTCATTACAACATTGAGAAAACATGTTTGCATGTTTTGATGATATAAAAATAATACCTAGTAATATTAATCACTGTAAAAAATGTAGAGCATCTGAAACATTCATATACTATTTTTACGAATGTAAACACAATCTACTTGGAAAACTATCAATATCTAGTGCTACAGATAAGCATATGCTCACTCCACTCATACTCAAATCCAATGTTGTCGCCATCGTTAGGTGTTGTCCAATTGGTTCCAACTCATAATGGCCCCAAGTACAACAAACAAAACGAAACACTGCAGAGGCCTATGCCTTCCTCACAACTGCTATGGTTGAGCTCACTGTTACAGTCACTGTGTCCATCTATCTTGTAGAGAGTTCTCTTCTTTTTTCCCCCCCCTGCTGCCCTGCTACTTTACCAAGCACAAGGTACTACCCTAGGGACTGGTCTCTCAAACATGTCCAAAGTATATCCGATGAAATCTTGCCATCCTTGTGTTTAAGGAACATTCTGGCCACAATTCTTACAACAGATTTGTTTGTTCTTTTGTCAGTCCATCACTTTCATTAGTCTTCATCAACACCATAGTTCAAATGCTTGAGTCACGCACACCACAGTCCTCAAAGTGGCCAACTTGTTCTTCAGCACTTTAAGATTTTGTACCTCAGATTTACCCAATGCAGTTCATCATTTGATCTCTGGATTTCTGCTTCCATGAGCCTCAGTTGTGGGTCCAAGCAGGACGAGTTTGACCAAGTCAAACTTTTCTCAGTTTATCATGGAATTACCTATTAGTCCAATTGTGAATTAGTCACTTAGTGAATTAATGAATTAGTCAATTATTTTCTTCACATTTGAGTTGTAAGCCATGTTGAGAGCTATAATCCTTGATCTTCATCAGCAAGCACTTCAAATCTTCACTTTGAGCAAGCAAGCTTGTGTCATATGCACACTGAAGACTGTTAAAAGCCATTCTCCAACTCTAATGCTGCATTCTTTACTTCTTATACTTCATCAAAGGTTAAGTTTAAAAGTGAATAGTTATCTACTTTCATACATGAACGATATTCAGCCTCCCACAGACTCCTTTTAAAAGTGTTTCTACTCCACCTTTAATTTCTTTAAAGAAAGATTCAAGTTACTCTGACTCACCCTAAAAGATCAAAGTGATTACAGGCGATCTGGACTCCCACAAGAACAAGGCGTTCTCTTGCTCAAGCAAAAAGAGAAATGACTGAAGACAAGCAAACATATAACAATAATGAGAACAGACCACTAGCAGGTCACCCAGCTGGTACTCACTGTGCTCTGAACAGCAGTGGAGATGGTGGAGAAGACGCCAAATGGTCCAGCCACTGGGGAAGTGCTTTCATTCCCTTTGGTGTTAGTATCGCCTACATGAGGGAGGGGATACATAGTATAAGAATGAAAGGGAGGTCCACTTATAATTTTTACTTTATTACTAACTGAAGGTTGTAAGAATTAGGCTTTGCTTTCCTATACAATCTTTTAACCTTTTTTAAAAATTACTTTAAACTAATATTAGTGTTTTCATTTTCATTTCTATACGAATACAGAAAATATTCTACTCCTGTATAATCACAATATACTACGATTAGTCAAGGAAAACAGAACTGTATATATTTATCAATATCCATAAAACTATAAATCTTACTGTATATCTTATACCTCAATACATCTGATTGTCAACAATTCATCTATTTTAGAGGAGCCTGGGTGGTGGTGGTGACTGGGCTTTCCACTCCCATTAAAAAAAAAATCTTGAAAACTCACAGAGGCAGTTCTACTCTGTCCTATAGGATCACTATGAGCCAATATTGGCTTCATAGCACTGAGTTCTAAGAGTGTATTTTAGTGGAGCCATAGGGGTGTAGTGGTTAGGTATTGGACTGCTAATCGTGAGGTCAGCAGTTGCTCTCCCGGAAGAAAGACAAGGCTTTCTACTCCTACAGACAGTTACAGTCTCAGAAACCCACAGGAGCAGTTCTACCCTGTCCTATAGAGTCACTATGTGTCAGCACTGATCTGACAGGAATGAATACATCTAATTTAAGTTTTGCCTAGGAAATTTTATTTTTAAGAGAAAGCAGACCAATGTGTATTATAAAGACAGATACGTTTCATAAGAAAGTAATCTGTTCATTTTATTAACTCTGAAATAGCTTACTGTTGATCAAACTGATGGAGGAAGGGCTTCCATACACAGTTATGAGAGATTAACTTTTATAGTACTTCTCCTGCTGCCATGGCATCTGAAACCCTGGACAAGATATTAGAAACAGCCATCTTCGGACAATAAACAATAAGCAGTGAAATATAGGCTCTCTTGATCCACAAGAGGAAATCACCAAGTTAAGCCTATAAATGCTCTGCTTTTCAATCTGGAGAAACTTTCCAAAACCCAGCAGAGGATGAGAAATTCAACCAGATAACAGCAGTTTCACTGAGTAAAAGAGTTTAACATCCAGAAAAACTGAGGCAGCTGGAATTTGCAGGTCAGACTACTGGAGAGGTAGGAATTGCTTAGGAAAAGAGCTTCAGAAAACCAAGAATATATTTAATCTTTTGGCTGAATATCCAGCTCAGTTACAGAGAAACTCCCTGGGACCTAGCAAAGAACTACAAGGGAACTGTATGCTAAACAACCACCATAAACATCACCCCAGGCAAAAAGACATATGATTTACAACTAAGCAGGTTGACTTGGTTAAACACCTGAGGGTTAGTAGAGAATTCAGAAGGGTCAGACCCAAGTGATAGAACGAATCTAGCTCTTAGAGTAGAGACTCATCCTAAGGAAAAGTAAAAACCTTAAATGGATCTATCCAAGCTACCTAAATTGCCTGCCACGATAAATTCAATGAAAGAACAAGATGCACTCAATAAGGTTACATTCATTATTACCCAGGGTCAGGCAAAAAAAAAGGGGGGGGGGCTCATAACCAAGGGAGGGGGAATGATAAAGTGACCCCCAAATGACATGGATTGGTGTTATTGGATGTCATCAAGTCAGTTCTAAACCATATCAACCCCATGTCGAACAAAAACACTGTCTGGTCTAGACCATCCTCAGAATCCCTGCCAATTGCAAATTCATTGTTAAAGCCACTGTATCAATTTATCTCATTGAGGGTCTTTCTCTTTTGTGCTGACCCTCAACTTTCCCAGTCCTCCAAGGACTTGTCCCTCCGGATCACACAGACTCTCACTGCCATGGAGTCGATGTTGACTCATAGCGACCCTACAGGGCAGAAGAGAACTGTCCTCGTGAGCTTTCAAGGCTATAACTCTATACAGGAGTAGACAGTTCCATCTTTCTCCCAAAGAGCATCTGGTAGTTTTAAATTACTGACCTGCAGGTTAGCTGCCCAATGAGTGACATTTTTGCTTTCCAATACATAACAAAGATCTTTTACAGTAAAATTCCCCAATGCTTTGTATCACATGATTTCTTAACTGCTGCTTCCATGAGTTTGGGTTGTGGATCCAATTAAAATGAAATCTTTGCCAACTCAAGATGACTCGTGTGTCAGAGAACTGTGCTCCACTGGGATTTCATGAGTGACTTTTTAGAAGTAGCTCACCAGGCTGTTCTGCACCAGACACTGGTGTACTCAAACCACTAAGTATACTGACACCATCAACTTTCTGGTTAGTAGCAGAACAAGTTAACTGCTTGCTCTACCCAGGGATTGGCCCCAGTTTACGTATAAGTGCCCATCAGAAACTAACTAGCACCAGTTCCTTCCACCTGTAAATTCCCAGAAGAAAGCATTCAAGCCATTCAAGCACCTTGGCTCATCTCTCCTGGAAAGATGAGTGGTACCACTGGGTAGACATTGTGCTATTAACTACAAGGTTGGCAATTCAACCCTATTAGCTGCTCCCCAAAAGAAATTTGAGCATATCTGCTTCTATAAATATTTATTGCCTTAGAAGCTCTATAAAGCAGTGGTCCTCAACCTTCCTAATGCTGTGACCCTTTAATACAGTTCCTCATGTTGTGGTGACCCCCAACCATAAAATTATTTTCGTTGCTACTTTACAACTGTAATTTTGCCACTGTTATGAATCGGGTAACCCCAGTGAAAGGGTCGTTCAACCCTCAAAGGGGTCATGACCCACAGGTTGAGAACCACTGCTATATAGGGTGGCTATGAATTGGAATCAACTTGATAGCAGTGGACTTATGGTTTAGAGTATTTGTCAGTCTCTGATGAGCACTTATACCATGATTCAATATAAAGCTGGAGTTGAAGAAGATAGGCAAAGAACATCAGCTCAGAGAGAAAAATGATACAGTTGATCAGAGAGAATCATAAGTAAGGACAGGCCCCAGAGAGATGAAAAATGCTGAAAAGCATTTTTATTTTCTGGCCACCTTAATTCCTGGTTTGAATGGTTTATGTGAGAAGAGGTTCCAGCTGGATTAGCACAGGCTATTTGGCTTGAACTCCATCTGAGTACTCATTGGGCTGCTAAGCTCAAGGTCAGTGGTTCAAACCCACCAGCTGCTCTACAGGAGAGCAATGAAGCTGCATGTTCCCATAAAAGGGTTACAATCTCAGAAACCATATGGTCACTATAAGTCAGAATCTCCTCAATGGCAGTGGCTTTGGTTTTGGGTTTCATATAAATAAAACCAAATGTGAAAAATATACATCCAAAAAGCCAATACACTGAAATATTTTCTTATGGTACAATAGTTTCAAAATCACCTAGCAGATATAAAATATAATCTAATTTCGTAAATAAGAAAAGTAAAAAGAAACAACAGTGGAAGGACATAGTCCTCTGATAAGCAGTGAGGAATTCACATCTTATCACCCTACTCCCCTGACACCCTGAAAATCAGACACAAGATTAATATATACCTAAGTTGAATTCAAATGTTCTCATTTAAGATAACAAAAAGTCTTAAAGTTACAGTATACCGACCTGACGCATATTGGACTTGAGTTGAAATTTCAACGGGACTTGGAATTCCAAGAGAATTCTCTGCCTTCTCAATGACATTTGAAATACCTTGTCCTACAAAGAAAAATGGCAACATTTTTATATTTGGGTATTATTTGCCATTTAGCCACTCAAATTGAGAAATTTTAAAAAATCAAACAAGCAGATTTTTAAGATTTTTTGATGACAAGACATGTTATTTTGAAGCATACACAAGTAGGACCGTGGCCAGAATAAGAGCTGGAGCAGGCTGCCCAGTACACTTGGGATCACACATAGAAGGGCTGGGAGCTTCAAGGGGGCTCACGGGTGAAGTGAGGGTGGAAGATATCCAAGAACTGGCAACCATCCCTGGGGTATGAGGGCAGCTGGACCACACACAGACAGTGGCACAGTGGGGGCCAGATGAGGCGTACCACTCAGGAACAGCACAGGAGTTCTGGGCAGGTGAGGGGTGAGCTCTAGGTAAGTGGGGAGGGGTATTCTCTAGCGTCTTTACTTAATTCCCCCCACCCAAACAAAAAGAAAGAAATGTGTATGTATCTCGGTGTAAAGTTTAAATTAAATTTGAATTTCTAAAAGAAAAAAAAGTTTGTCAAGTTGTCTTTTTATCAAAAGAAGATCAAGTCATGTTTTATATCCTCATCAATGAGTAGCTTTACATTAACAATCCCTAGACTTGCGATTACTACTCACTATAAAACCTACTAATAAGGAAATAATGCAAATTCTAGTGGCTATATAAATCAGCTCTGTAGTACTACTGCATTTTCATAATATCAAGCTTTTGAGTAAGCAAGGAAAAAAGGAAGAATTACTAACAAATTTGTTTTTAATACAGATCTATAGAAAAATACACAAAAAATGAAGAAATGACTGATGACCTTACCTACTGTGGCTACAGTAGCTGAGGCCGAGGAGAGTAAGGACTTGCCCCAGCTGCCCCAGTAGCCCCATCCAGTCTGGGCTACCTCTTTGGAAAAAGGATCCTATTTTAGCAGAAGGCAGAGAAAAAGAACAACGAAGAAAATGGAAAAATTAGTGGAGAATCAAGGTATATAAGGTATCTAATTTTCAGTCAAACTATGAGTGAAAATATATTCAGTTTAAAAGTATTGCCTGACTGGCAGATATGTTTATGCACCATGTAACAAAGACCGGTGTTTACAGAACTGAGAAAGCAGTCTTATAATTATGAAATGCAATACTGAATTGGTACTGATCCCAAATTTCCCAAAATTTTTAACCCCAATATTTTCATAGATACTCTACTTTGCCTAAAGCTTGAGATTCCTGAACAGGGTGAATGTCTGCAGTGTCAAGGTCATGAGAAGACCGGGCTTCTGGGCGTTTCCGAGTGGAAGCTACAGGTTCTGATTTGCTCTCTGGCTTGGTGCTTTGGTCAGCAGACTCAGAATTCCTTGCTGGTTCACAATTCCCATCCTCAGGACTGGGAGTTGCTTTGGTTACCACTGGTGTCTCAGTGTCATCTTTATCTGACATGATTAGAGCATCGCCTGGGAAAATAAAAGTCAAAGAAAAAACTTATCTCTATGGGCTTTTTTTGATTATGAATTCTTTTAAACTTTGTAATCTTGAGATTACCATAGATTTACATACAGCTTTAAGAAATAAGATAGGGACATGCCATATACCCTTCACAGTTTCCTCACTGGTCACTCACTACCATCGAATGGATTTGGAGTCACAATGACACTATTGGACAAGAGTAGGATTGCCCTTGTGGGTTAATGAAACTACCTTTTTAAAAGAGTAGGAAGCGGTGCCAAGCCACCACAGAGTGGCTGGGGCATTCAAACTGCGACTAATTAGAATTAGCAGCCCAACATACAGCCCACTATGTTAGCAGGGATCCTTTGTCATTGGGAACATTTTATATCGTTTTAGCACCATATCACAACCTGGAAATTAATGACAATCAACCGTATTCAGATTTCACAAGTTTCACATATACTTATTTGTGTGTGTCTGTGTGACGTGTGCTTGTACTTAGTTCCATGCCATTTCATCCCTTGTATAGATTTATGTGAACATCACCACAGACAAACTACAGGACAGTTCAAAGGCTATCACGTGCTCCCATGGTAACCCTAGAGGAAACAGAGTTCCCGGGGCTGTAATCTTTACAGAAGCAGACTGTCACATCTGAGCACTTAACCACTACGTCAGCCAGAATCAGGGAGCAAAACTCAGGGACAATTGTGAGAGCTGGAACTTGACAAGACTGCCTTGTTGTCCCAGGTCTCCTGAGCTTTTCACCTTTAACAAGATGTAGTAGTACTTTGCAAATGCTATTAATGGAAAATACTTGACTTTTCTTTCTCTGACAGGCATCAGATCACACAGATTTCACCTCTCGTGCGTTTTACTGTATATGAAAAAAGTCCAGAGCAATGGTCACAAGCTGGCAATCTAATTGTCAACTTTTCTCAAAAGGAATTTTTATTTGACCTACACTGTATTAAAATTGTTTTAAATTGCTAGCATTTAAAAATCAGATTTCATAGAAAAATAAAATCTGGCAGTGCTGGTCCACGTTTGATGCTGAATAACTATTAACGCAAGCTGCCATAAAGGAAACTTTGCCTCACATGTACCGGAATAGAACTGTACTCCATATGGTTTTCAGTTAGCCTACTCTATAAGAACAAATGCCTTAAAGGATATATAGGGCTCTGACAGATAAACATAGGGAAAGAATCAAAGGGTGTGGGATGTACACATGGGAAAACTCAAATGCCTGAGGTGTGATAGCCTGGGATGTGGGCAGACACCAGAAGTAGTTAACACGGCAAGGAAGAAGGTGGTGGGGAGGCATTAGACTAGAAAGGAGCCTAAACTCCATGGGTATATGATGTACTGGTATTACTCTATATATTATAGATCCTCAAAACACATAGGAAAAACCCGATACATCTACCCATAGACCTATAAACCTGCTCTGAAAGACTCATTCATTAATTCACATGTTTTTTGGAGTTTTTACTATATACCAGGCTCTGAACATAGAGAACTACTTTAAGATACAACTCTTGCCATATTCACTCCAATGGCCTAATGGAAGAGACTGCACAATTCTCCACAGGGTTCAATGTTGAATGAACGGGTAGTTAAGGGGGTAAAAAACAACCAAAAAACTACCTTTCACTCTACTTATGTTTTCTCTCGGTTACAACTCATAGTATACATAGAATTTACACAGGTGTATAAATTATGAGGACATATGCCAAAATATTAAGTACTGATTATCTCTAAGCTTTCATTTGTACAGCCATTTAATGAGCATCTAGGTTATGTCAGATGCTGAGCTAGGCCGGAAGTGAATGTGGTAAGGATGGCTGTTTACATGATCATTACCATGCTTAGCATCCTATTCCTCTCAGGGGCGTTGAGAGGTATTTCAAAAACAAAAGAACACAATGGAACTGCCTCTAGTTAATGTTTTTAAGTTCTGGGGTTAATGTACTAAGTTTGTGCTATTCTCGTAATTGTAGGAAAAGACTCGGCTAACTAGAAAATGAAATGGATGTCATTAAAAAAAAAAACTGTATACACTTCAGGTGCAGCGGTCCGGAGTCGCCCTGGAGTCGCCCTGGAAGTTGGACGACCTCCCCTCCGCGCGTTCCCGGAGGCAGTTAAGCTGCCCCGTCCGCATCTTGGTTCCCTCGTGGGGACACCGAGGGATTAATTGACAGGATGGGTGAGGGACTGGAGCAATGGCACCTAACCGCTCACGTTACCACCATCGTCACTGTCGATCTTACTACCGATGAGCCGGCGCCCCCAGACTGGCACGTAGCCGCCCTCGCCTAAAAGGGAGACCAGACGCCAACTCGCGCTAGTCGCCGAGTTCTCGGACTTTGCCAACGACGAACATCCCGCACACAGACGTCGCGCTGCACCACCCAAAGCGCTATCCCAGGCTCCCACCCCCGGCCCTTCCCCAGAGTCCTCGGTTGAACGACTCGGGACCCCCACGCCACCGACACCCCCC